TATTCCAAAGCGCTGAGTAGAGCTTCGAGAAAGTAAGCACTATTGTAATAACCAATCACTATTTAGTACCTGAGAATGAATATAGTATTTCTGATAAATTATTAATCTGTTCTGATATTGATAATTATAAAACTGGTCGGATGTCCATTTTTGATACTTAACTGGAAAAGGAATTTAAACTTTTAAACGTCCATTACTCACTTATTCTATTAAATTTACGAAAAATCTTTATTATATGGGTCTTTTGAATTTGGGTTTGTTGCTATACTAGTTCTTACGTATTCAAAAAAACAGCGAAGCAATTAAAACTTAATTCTGAAAAAGACTAACACCCGACCTAAATAATGAAGCCATTTTCCTATGACGTGGTCGGATAATAACATCCGCTGTTTTGGTTCCAAAAAAAAATATAAAGTTAAATTAACGATTCTAAGCTATTATGTATTAAGATACGAAAACAAACATAAATTCAGTGGAAAGTATGTGGAAATGAGATATTTTGGTCCGGGGATATCAGGCCTGATCCTACAAATAAAATACACATCTAACTTTTTATAGAATATTACAATTAAAAAAGATTTTTATTTTGAGCTTCGGAGCAAAAAATAAAATCTTAGCTTTTTATAATATTAGTATGTATTGAAGATATACTAGTAAATAAATCGTGACTAATTGAGATTAATTAACATAAATTCAGTAAGAAGTATGTGGAAATGAGATATTTTGGTCCGGGGATATCAGGCCTGATCCTTCAAATAAAATACACATCTAACTTTTTATAGAATATTACAATTTTTGATAAACTTTAAAAAGTAACGCAAAAAGGAGCAACGATGTATTAAATCAATGACGTGTAATATATTATCAGGTTTAATCGTTACAAATATTAAAATTTTAGTTCCAGGCTATGATGACTCGAACACATCCTCTACATTGCATATCCATTATAAAAGTCTACCTTAAAATTTGCAGAAGAAAGTATATAAGAGTCATATATAGAGAAAATAAAATACAAGTTATAATATATATATATATTATCAATAGAACGTAGAAATATCAATTAATATAAAAAATATCAATAGAAAACAAAATATTTATACACTAATGAGTACACACATTAATAATGTGAAAACTGTTACAGTAAATTTTCACAAGATACTGAACTAAACGTATCATAATAATGTGTGTTTTCATTATTTCTGACAAAGTTCAGGACAAAGTTCATATACTTCTGTTTATTTATCGAGCTATATATATCAAGCTAAATATATCTATTTAATATAAATTAAAAAAGTTATTCGGCGAAACTAAAGAGCTTTTAGGTATAAGAAGTGAGATGTTGAATAGGTTATGGAGTTCATATATTTTTTATTTTATTATACCAACCATTTGCAAAACAAAATACTTAGTCAATTGAAAATTTGTACTAATAAAATCATAGTAAATATTAATAATAAAACAAAATAATAATAATTTACTTTTGCCTGTGAAATGATTTAATATATAATAGATATTTGAAAATGATGGCGCTTCATTTTTACTACAAAATATCAGGAAACAAAAAGTTATTGAGTTTTGAGATGGCATTCACCATTTGCTTTCATAAAGCGACGCGGCCGCGTGTTGTCTGTGCTCGTGACGTGTAGGTTGTAGTTTTTTTGTAGCTGGTAATTTTTTCTTTTTCTAACGTCCATTAAAAAATCAAGGTATCTTTTTGACACTGCAAGTTGTGTGGATTCTCCGAACCAAAAGGTCTGAAGTTAAGATCCGACACAACACTAAGAAAATTTGAGAAACGAAATATCTTATATGCACATTAGACCTTCTTTGAAGGCGTTATTCCAAAATTAGAAGAAGCAAAGAGTTTTTGCTCTAAATTCATGTAGACATCCGACTTTTTATAGTAAATATAACTTTGTAAATAAAAGAGAATAATGGTTGAACCTGAAAGAAGACGAAAAATTGAATTTGTTCTAGAAACAAAGTGATCTATGCATAATTGGACATCCGATCAGTTGGCTCTGATCTACAGAAATTAATAACACTGAAATATATTGTCTGTTTTTTACGTGTATAAATGAATGTTCTTTATCTTATCTAAAGTTTATTGTATTGTATTAGGTTATCTGTGTATTATTTGCATGCAACAGTTTCCTGCTACAAACCTAATTTCCCTGTCCTTGCTTTAAGATTTGCAATATCCGTTTATAAAAGGATATACTTACAAATTTTATATTATAGGTGTATTTGTATATATAAAAAGTATATGTGAATGTATATGAGTATAGAAAATCTGTATTCGGATCATTTAGGAGACCATTTTCTTTATAGTAACTGTCCAGCCAAACTTTCGGGTGCCTCGAAAATTGCTCTTTAGTGATAAGACCGCCTATTGTAGGGAAGATTGGCACCATTCGTACACGGGAAACCTTCATACAGTCATTACTACAACTTGTAGAAAAGCCTATTTATTATGTATGACATTGTATCTGTGAGTAGGCGCTGGCGGCTGTCAGTTCTCCACGAAGTTAGCCGCACATGCGGCGACTGCGAGCGAAACTAGAGAACTTAATGTTTTGTTTATGTTTTTGAGTCTTCCGTATTTTAATGATAAGTCAAATTTTATTGGATTATTGCTTAATCGTAAGCGAATCCGATTAAGATGATAATAATATATATATTTTGTGTATTTTTCTACATGGGTTTTGTGTTAGAAAAAATATTTTATTCTTGATCTTCGGGGCACGTTCGTACATTTCCAGTAAGGGCACATTCGTACGCGTATGTATGTACACCCGCTAACAATTTTTATTATTATATCAGAAAATTTAGAAAAAGTTATCGGAATTTTAAGAAAAAAAGGCAGGCACGTTTTCTATATTAATTAAATGAGACTTTTTGCGTCAATATAAAGTGTTTTTAAATATATATGACGCTACCACACTACCTGAATGTTCCCCTGCCTATGTACGATTGTACCCCGTATTAGGGGTAGATTCGGACATTCATTAGCTTTTAGTAAAATTCAATCCATTCATTTATCTAACAAGATATCAACTTTGAAATTTTAAATAAGGAGCAAAAAGTATGCCTTATGTCTTAATAAATAATTGAGTAATTTATCTCTGATTATCAATAAAAATCATAGACTAAAAAGTGTACGAATGATCCCAATCTTCCTTACTCTTAAAACGTTTATAGTTAATATTTTCTTGTACAACCAAAATCAAAAACGAAGGTTTAAGGTATGCTAATTGCATGTGAAATATATTACAAAATTATGTAAGACAATAGAAGAAAAATGACAATCCTAAAGTCAAGCTATTCTGCAATATAATTAGTAACGCCACACGTTCTGTATGAAATTGATTTATCGCAATCGGGCTGCTGATATCTGAAACTATTAGGTTTAATCTTTTGACAATACGGTGCGATGTAAAAGAAAAACAAACAAGGACGTTTTCTACCTTCAGAAATTAGCACGGATACCTTTTTTATATTTCATATATAACTCTCGCTCTCTCTCTCTGAAAATTCTTAAGCATTTCGGATGAAATACCATTTCGGGAATGTCCAATAATTTGCGGACGTTTGGTAACAGTTTTGTTGATAACAACATTGTATACTCAAACCGTACCGTATATGTTTTCTATATACGGTACGGTTTGAGTATACAATGCCTTACTCATTTATTAGCTCAGTCAACAATGCGTATTGTCGACAAACAAGATTGTTCCATCTTTTGTTTGGCAAATCTTGGAAGTTACCCTTGACTTCCTGTTATATGAATGACATTGATTTTGGTTTGATTAAAATATTTGATATTTCACGCATAATAAAAGCCAATATTCCGTATTTCCTATTTCCGGATTTCCTATGATTTCTTATTTCTGATTGATATCTGTAAACAAAAATCAAAGCGATATATTATTTACAGATATCACTCGAAATAATACATAAGTAGGTAGAAATAAATAAAGCCGACTACAAATAATTATTAGCTAAAAGGCGGATATTTTGTGTAGGTCATCAATAACTGTCCAAATTAAATATATATTTTTTTTTATAAATATACACGGTTATTTACAAAAAACGAATGAAAGGGGTTAACGAAACGAATTTTCTTAATACCTCACAAATGAATAACAGGCGACAAGAGTTTTATCGATTCGTCTTGTAACTATTGGGACTACCGCTAACTGAAGACTCGCTGATATGTTGAAATTGTAAGGGTTTTCTTTTGACACATAAAACGGGTTAAAGTGTAGAGCCACTGGTGCGCTTAGGTTCAATGTTCTCATATAAAGAATTCCAAAGTTCCTTCCATTTGCCTCTTTCGGCGCATCCCATTCGGATTGATTTGCGTTTCGGTTACATCAGTTACCTCGCAGAACTATAAACCTAATATCATAAACAGCAACATAATAGTTTAAACAAATATTATTTTTCAAGTTTTATTGTGCTGTCTTGACAATAATAGGTCTGTTTTATTCATAAACGAAAATATGACGTTACTCTCGTGAGCTTCTTGACACGGGAGCGTGTTCTTCAAGAAATAAAGATACTCAAGCATGAGATTAGATAGCCAATTTTTAATTTTTTAATTTTTAGCCACTAACCTCTTTTTGGTCATTTTGAATTTCAGGGCGTATTAGCCAGATATAATTACTTTACCGTGGACGGACTTTAAAATGTTGAATTTTGGTACAATAAATACCGTTGGCTGTTGTGATGTGTCAAAGTTTATTTCCTCATAACTCTTAAATTGGCCACTAAATCGGACGTCTACCCTAAATGAAATTCGTAAAACTCGAATGTTGTGTTTTGTTTATGGCGTTAGCTGTCTAGACCTAAATCGTTAATATTTTTATTTAACACTGTATACGATATGTATTAGTTTTCCCTAGAAAATATATACCAAAATAAAGTGCAGAGCTTTATGTGTTTAGCCTTAAATTAAATATTTACGTATAATATTTACGTGTACGTTTTATTTGTAGGAACATGCCTGATCAAGAGTTGGAGACGAACAGAGACCTAGTGAATATCAAAAATTGGTTATGCAAGCAGCCGCATCTACCTCATGATGTTGGTGAGTGCATATTAGAATTTATTTATTTGAAAATAAGACTTACTTTCGTCCACACATATATCATAATACTTTCTATTGATATTCAAATATCAGTGTCGATATTAAACAGTTCATCCCTTTTCATATCAAAAGACATTTTATATTAAATATAAATGTCGGTTAATATCAAGTGCTATTCGGTAGAATGTATCAAAAACCAGTTCAAATACTCCTAAAGGAGAAATCCTTGCTGCAATATAGATTCCAACCAAATTGCAATAAGTACATTGGCTTTAATGCAGTAGTGGGAATTGGCCCACGGTTATTAGTAATCACTTTGCTTTCAATTGGCCACGAAACGCATTCTCAATGAGCAGACACCTAATAAATCCGTATTATAAAGAAAGCGTGTACGCTGACACTTATATTTGCCTTGTTAATATACCTTAAGACACTGGTCGATGACGTCCGTCCTGACGATGACTGGAACTGGTCGATGACATGCGGGATTGGGCGGCCTAAAAACTAAATTTAGTCCAATTTGTGCAACGGGATTGCTACTTTAAACATTGTTGCTTAGATATAGGTAGATACATACGTTGGGTCATATACTAGCAAAGTTTATAGTAGTTTAAGGTGCGATCTCCTATAGATCGTTTTACGAAAGAGCATAAACCTTATACCTTTGTAATAAAAGCGAAAATATTGTAATTCAAGGGACTTCTTTCGTGAAACGAACTCTTATTCTCTGACCATGAGTTTATTTAGGTGGCTACATACAGTGCTACCTAACTAGACTCATGGCCAGATAATTAAAGTGCATACAACAAACTATGTATTGAGTACATATTTTTGTGGTTAAATATGCAATTTACAATGCAATTAAAAAAATGCACATAATGTAATCTATTAATGTAATATAAATACATTAAAACATTAACAGCATATTGGGTAAAACCTTATTTTCACGTTATATTGTAACTGTCTTTCTATAATTAACGTATAAAACATGTGTGAAACAATGTTTGACTTTTTTTGTTGCGTAATTTTTACCACTGTGTTACATACTACAATATTGTATCTCTGCCATCGAAAAGGAAATGGCTGTTGTTGAGGTGAAACGTCAGGACATAAAATATCAGGGTTTTATTTTTTTCACAGTCGATAGATCATAATGACATTATTATTTACTAGTGACCGCCAGCGACTTCGTCCGCGTTTTCCATTATTTCTTCACTCCTAATAGTTGCAGCGTGATGTTATATAGCCTAAAGCCTTCCTTGATAAATGGTCTATTCAACACAAAAATAATTTTTCAATTCGAACCAGTAGTTCCTGAGATTAGCGCGTTCAAACAAACAAACAAAGACTTCAGCTTTATAATATTAGTATAGATATATCGGGTCCAGGATGATAAAATAGTAACAAAATGAAATTATTAACTTGACATTAACAAACCCTAGGTTCCTGTTTTTTTATAAGACATGTCTATGTCATGTGTTCGTCTTTGTAGCTACCTGAAGACTAATGTCATTAAACCAATGTGTTTCTCAAAAATTTATTTCTATACCGATTTCTATGATTCTTTTTTATGGAATACTTAATACGGTTAACTTTTTTAATTAGGGATGACTGAGAGTGTTATAAATGTAAGAGTAGACAATAGACAAATACAATCAGAAAGCTTTGAACTGCTAAGCTATCGGGAGTTACACGTGTTATTGTGAGTCAACCATAAAAGATAGACATATGATATCGTGGGATATTTTTTATATAATTTTAAGGAGAACATTTCTGTCATACATAATTTCTGGGTAGCTTTAACCATTAAGGTTGTACACGCGACGGAAGCTTAAAAAATGGAGTAACTTCTCCCGTTTTCCCAACATTTCCCTTCACTGCTCTGCTGCTATTGATTGTAGCGTGATGAAAAGTATACTATAACCAGCTCAGGAGTATGAAAAATAATTGTACCAAGTTTCGTTAAAATCCGTCGAGTAGTTTTTGTTTCTATAACGGTTATACAGACAGACAGACAGACAAAAATTTTACTGATTGCATTTTTGGCGTCAGTATCGATCCCTAATCACCCCCTGATAGTTATTTTGGAAATATATTTCATGTACAGAATTGACCTCTTTATAGCAATGAAAATGTTTTTATATTTTTTGTAATTTATTTTCCTCTCACACTGTATTAATTGAAGTATCTGTGGATGTGGATTGGTTTTGTCTCTCGATCATTTTTTTTGCCTAATATAAACAATTTGTTCAGTTAATCAAACTATTTTTACATGACGATGTTTTCGAAATTAAAATCAAACGGTATCGTGTTTATTTTAATTTATTGAGAGTCGAAAAGAACAAAACCATTTAATCAATACCTAATAAAATTAAGATTTTTTTTAAAGACAACACTAAAGTGTACATGTTTTAATACTGCTTAAAATAAACTTTAAATTCAAATTGTAGGCGAATGATAATATTTGCCTTCTTGAGAGATTAGTACGACATTCGGAAGTAAATAATCGATAGCAAGAACGTATGTTTTTGTTATGGAAATTTGTGATTTCTCGAATATTCATTATTTGATAATAGGCCAGTGTAAAAGGCTAGATGATTCGAGTTTACAGTGGATTTAAAACAACGGTTTTAAAACGTTAAATTTGTTAAATATTTAAACCGGTCAAAACCAATAACATTACGTATACCTTTTTGTTTATTTTATTAGCGAGACCGTAAATGTCTCGCTAATAAAATAAACACAAACTGCACTAAATTGGTCATAGAAAACAATATTTTTTTATTTTAATAGCCCTTTGTTTGAGTTATCTTTAAATGCTTTTTCTATGCTAGATAACCATTGAATGAATTAATGGATTATGTATACAAATGAGTTATAATAGTAAATTGTAACTTTATATTTTTGTGAATTTACTATAACGATTTCTTGAGGAGCAATTTCTGAGAAGACCCTTCACTAATGTCCCTATTGCTGTGTTTCCTCTGGATGAATCGAATGAAATTGAATTGGGAGAATGGGTCATGATCCATCATGCGGGCCCAATGCGGGTTGGTTGGGTATTAACGGCTGTAGGTAGAGCTGGTACCAACTGCTTGACGTGCCTTCCGAAGCACGTACGAGCTTGAGATAATTAATTTTTGGTCAGCCATCCAATTTTCCGGTCGCCAATGCGAAAGTTGCTTAATAACATATCGCAGACCGAGCGCAGTAACTACTGCATCATCGAGTTCCTCGCAGCTGCAGTTATTGATACCCACCAATCCGCATTAGGACGTCGTAGTGGATTTTGGCGCTTTTGACTTATGTTATTTAATCAACGGGAAGGCCTCTGCCCCTAATTTACATTAATAGACTAGTAAAAACTATTTTACTTGGAAGCATAGATAATATTGAAATTATTAAATTCTTTGATATTTTAGATGAAGTACTCCTCAAGCGATTTATCCTCAGCTGCGGGTATAGTATAGAGCGTGCCAAGCGCTCTCTGGACCTGTTTTTTACGATCAGATCTAATGCGCCCGAGCTATTCTGCATGAGAGACCCGTGGTCACAAGAAATTAGACGCGCCTTTGAAGTCACGTAAGTTAGTTTTCTTATAATTAGTAAGTGCTTTCTTTTTTAGGGCGTTGGGAGAAATTACTTTGTAATGACTTCGTTTATCTCATTGTAACTAAAAATCACCTAAAATTTATAAATAGCAAGACAAGAAAACATAAATAAAACGATTTGTTTGCGGCGACTTCAGAATTATTTGTTTTATGAAACCTTTTGTATATGTTTGTATTAGGTATGTACCTAATGCCGGTTTCTAAATTGAGAAAACCATAAAATCTCGGCAACTTAAGTTTTTTTACGTTTCACTTGGCAAAATGTCCTAGTTTTATCAAAGTGCTAATAATTGATCATAAAAAAATTAAAACCAAAAAACGGAAACCTGTTTAATAGGGTTAAGATGGTTTAAGTATGGTTTGAGACGTGCTTAACTTTAAATCTTTGATTCAGAAATCGGGTGATAGAATTCTATGTATACTACTAGAAGTCTTTGGTGATTAATAACTTAATACACTGGATAATTTGTTTTTATTCCTATAGAACACTATAGAACACAATAACAAGTATAGAAAATTATCCAAGTTTACGAACGATATTTTTTATTATTATTTGTGCGAGAAATTTATTTTACTTCAATGATCATTTCAAAAGGCAATGCTAAAACAATGTTAATAAAATAACGTGCTTACCGACGAGCAGCGATTGATTTTCCCATTTACTTATTTAACTTTCACGTTTCACGCAAAATTGTACAGGCAACACCACATCGGGCTATACAAACCTGTAAAATATACCCACTTGATTTTAAACCTTAATGCATTGTATGTAGAGTTCAAAATCAATTGAGAAATTTGACATATTGTGGTAGTCCGACATGCAGCCGTATGTACAAATGATGGACTTAATGCTGTGAGGCATTTTCTACCTGGCAACCTGAGAACTCGTCAGGGATAGGATGTGAGGCGGCATGTTAAAAAAAATACTAACATGTGTTGTTTACATACCGAATCAAGCGGTTCAGAAAATTCTTATTCGACAATGAATTGATTGTATAATGCGTCGTAAAATATTTATCTGTATAAAAACACACTGACTGTAAAAAATCACAAAAAGCGAAAGTAGTTTGACTGGTGAATTTAAAGCTTTACTAACAGTGTAAATAGAACGAGAGTTCGAGGCAAAAATGGGCAAATTTTGTAATAACTGATGCTTTAATATGTGGTTAGTACTAGGAGTAGGTTCCCTCACAAATTGTTGAAAACTTATTACAAATGAGTTTAGAAAAGAAAATACGATGGCCTCGATTTAGTACGACGAACAATCGCTAGAAGAATGTATCTCGCCAAAGCCATCACGTTTTCCATCACCAAACCTCCATAGAATTTCCATAAACTGAAGAAGGTATCAATCTATCAACCTTTACACAACATCTTGCAGATTTTTGTCACGATCTCTTGTACTATAGGTAAAGAATGTGAAACGATTTTGCTTAGGCATTCAGCTAATATAATATTCCTATTTGCTATACGAATTTGCAAACTAAAATACATCATCCTAAATGATTTAGCATTGAAAAATTGACTCTCAAACCATAGGACCTAAATTAAAACTCTTTGAACATACACTGAAGTCTGTTGTTTTTAATTTTTATTATTTGTACTGAATGGATAGATTCACACATGGTAGGTATTTTTTTTATCAAATCTTTAATAGTTATTCTGCTGTTGTCGGTGGAGACAAATTCATTAAATCAGCAATTTTAAAAACCGTTTAGGCGTTCTTCAGATTTAAATGGTATAACTAACTTTATTTTTTGTTTTTGTTTCATACATGGCAATTTTGCAATTATTGCCAAATTGCCCTGTATACATAAATTTACAACATAAAGGTGTCTCACTAACATGAAAAACAATACAAATCGCTTTCTTCATTAGCAAAACTCTACAACGTCAAGAACGCTAATAATTGTCTGAATCATGTGTTCCGAATGCATTTTTTTACATTCCCATCAAGATTTTTAACTCGTACGTCATCATCTACCTATATTAATACCTCGTTTGTAGATATCTATATAAGGTGTAATATTATTATGTAAAAAAATATCTTATTTCAGGGATTTAATACCTCTCCCGAGAACCACGAAAGAGAACTACAAGGTATTCCTGTACCGGCTGAGTAATCCCGACATGGACCTGTTCAGCTTCGTTGACGTAGTAAAGGCCTTCTTTATGCTCGCAGACACCAGGTTAACGGAGGAAGATGAGATTCCAGCAGGCGAAATACCGATCTTCGACTCCGCCAACGTATCACTCAAGTTCATACCGAAAATTAATCTGTCAGTCTTGAGGAAATATATGATTTACACACAGGTATTTTTTTTTACTTTTGTTTGATAGATTATATCTTATTTGTACTAGCTGTGCTTCCGCGACTTTGCCCGTGTATAGGCTATAATACCCGCGTATGATTATAGCTTTCCGTAGGATACCGTAGTGAAAAAATTTATGACTCTATAATGAAATTTTATTTTATATTCTATCAAATTACAACTAAAATATTTTTTGTCGTAAGACAGTAATATCTATTTCTGAGAATACATTACAATACCTCGTTTAAAACATTTATTATCTTGTACTTCTAGAAATGCTTCGAATAGATGTAAAGCAGACAGGATACTACTTTTTATAGAGATTATGAGGTCTGTACTGATTATATGACGTCAGTGGAAAAGACCAATACTTAATTGAACCTATACAGTTTTTTTGACTTTTTCTTTTACTCATAACAAGTTCTTGTGTGGTTGATTTTAATTATGTTATAGCAAAGTATAATATTATAGCGTACTTGCGTCACTAATATCAAGAAAATCTTCCACACGTGTCACATCCCAGTCATGCTTAGACGCAATAATAACAATCATCTAGCCTATCAGCGTCCCTCGTGCTGTGGTTCAGGTCTCCCTCATGGATGGTATCGAATCAAATTGAATAGGGAAAGAGGTCATGAACACACGGGCTCAGTACGGATTGGTGAGTGTCAACAATTGCAGAGGAAGCCAAGATCATGGCCAAGGCTTAACATGCCATCCGAAGCACGGAGGAGCTCTAGATTATAATTTTTGGTCACCCATTCAATGGCTGGTTATTGAAAAAGTTGCTCAACAGACGTATCGCAGACCGAGCGTGCTAACCACTGCACCATCGAGCTCGCATCGAGAATAATAATATCATACCTACGAAGGACACTGACCGGGGGTTGGGTATGGATCCCATGTCCTTCCTCCAAAAGTGGGGATGCATTGAAGGGGATTTTGTGGGTATGCCATCCACATTTTGACTAGCCTTCGGGCAAGGTCCGTGTGAATGGAGAGTCCAATACACCCCTTATCGCCTGTCAAGCGGCAAAAAAGGGAGGGCGGTTTGATAAGGATGCTAAAACGAAAAAATCTCTGATTTTAAATTGATTCTAGACAAAGAAAGGAAGCCCAAATTTAGCTGTAATAAAATGGGATAATGGCACTCCGTGACTTAATATACTCTGGATGGAAATAAATACATTTATTAAATTTGCAGTCTTGCCATTCCTTAGCATAGTGATATTAAAATATAAATATTTAGACCTATTGTTATGGGTATTCTAATGATTATTGATAATTTTTTTGGCCGGAAACTGTGTGAGTCATCTCATATCATTAATATGTTTGTCCATCGCTTAGTTATATAAACAAATTTTATTGATTTAAAACTGGGTAACCCAATCAAATGTTTTATTCCAAACTAGTTTGTGTCCACAACTTCGTTTGCGTGGTATTACATTAGTTTATTTTTAACCAACTTAAAAAAAGGTTTTCAATTTATCTCATACCGTTTAGGCTGCGTTCACAAAAGTAGGCGTCCTTGGAGGTACTTCTATCCCCAGGGAAACTTTTAGTGGGATAAAAAGTAGTCTTTATATTAATCCAGACTAAGAATTGCCTATATAACAAATTTCATCAAAATTCATTCAGTAGATTTTGCGTGAAGAAGTAACAAACAACCTACAAACTTTCGCCTTTATAATATTAGTTTCGACTCGTTAGATTTTCTCGACGAAATTTGTTCAATGACGGAACAGGGGTGCCACACCAAACTCTCTAGACATGTGATGCGACATCAAAGTGATTTTAAAGCGATATATTGTTTCATTTGACTACTTTGACATGTCTTGCGGTGGATGAATTTGGAAGAAATGAATAAGTTAGTAACACTTTAGTTAACAGTTAATTTATTATTTGTTATACATATGACATAGACATATGACATAACGTATCTTATAGCTAATCATGGTCGCACCTCTGTAATGGGACCTTAGTACTTATTTAATTCCATTACGTTGTTGAGTTGGGGTTGATTTGTAAAAAATCTCTGGTCGAAGATAATAACCAAAATAGGTTGTTAACTACAAAAAAATCTACGTTTGAGTATGTGTCTTAGTTACAGCAGATCTTGCGGTACTCGGATACAAAATTGTATAATTATAATGAATACAAAACACAATTTTTAAAAGGTTTTAACTATAACTAGCGTATTTAGTTACTTTGTTTGCGTGGGTCAAATCTATGCAGTGACCTTGGCACCTTTTCTGCTTTTTGATTATGCTGAAAGTCGCAAGAAAACAGCCAGTAATATTATAAAATTTAGGTATAAATTGTATTAAATAGCGTAGATGGGCTAATAAACGGAATGTATTGAAACACTGACATGAGGCGAGTGCAATGACTTAGGTGTAACATCCGTACAGGACGAGTTTCACCTTTATTGGAGCGAAACAAAACAACACGTCGCACTGTAAGCGCTATACATATTAGACACTTTGTTTACAAAAATATCGTTATGCCTGCAATGAAAGTGCGATAACTTAATTATCAGCGCGTTCATGCGATCACTGAAGTTAAGCAACTTTCGCAAGTACCAGTCATGGGATGGGTGACCGAAAATTTATTGACTCGTGGTCCTCTGTGCTTCTGAAGACACGTTAAGTAGTTTTTTCAGTCTGCAAATCGTTAATGCTCATCAATCCGAGTTGGGCCCGCATGATGGATTTCGACCCGTTCTCCATAGTGTCTTTAGACCTGTGTCTCAGTGTATCAGTAGTGTGGAGATTAATGGGTTGATGATGTAAGATTCCCTATTGAGGTGATTGACCTCTGTTGCCAAGTGGCTTCAAGGTGTCGCCATCGCCATCACTGATGGTTCGATTCTCGGTCGGGTCAATGTAGAAAATGTACTTTTCTGTAAATCTCGAGGCAGGATGTTAGATGTTTTTCATTGTTTTCATAATTGTACCAGATTCACAGGAAAATAAATGTTTGCTACTTAATTTGCGATCTTAGCAATATATGTGATGTTTTCTAATATTGTTACTGTTATTAAGCTGAATTATCGTAGTTTTATTAAACAACGGTATTTAAAACAAATCAATTTTTTATTCACTAAATTATTATTAACTTAAGAAGCATAAAAGATAAATAAAAAAACGAGACAACTTCGGAAACCAGTTTTTAAGTCAGATGACGATATCATATTCTGTGTGGTTCTAACAAAGCAAAGTTTTGTTACTTTGTTCTAGAGTGTACCCCCTGATAGTTCACGTAGAGACGGGATGTTAATTAAATTTAAAAAATCCTTGTATCTTCTTCATCTTTTGATATAAATGTATTAATAATATTCAAATTATATCTAGTCCTTGAATGAAAGTTTTTGCTTAACGCACCTAGTTGAACCTATAGAAATATGCTTAAAACAATTACCAGTGACCAGTAAGATGGAATTCCAATGCCTAAACATTGACGAAAATAATTCTACAGTCCTGCGACATTTCGGGTAGATTAAGGGTTAGAGTAGTCGCCCGTATTGGAAAAAAAGGTTATGGGTTCGAATTGCATCTCGGGCACTTGGTAGACATTTTTATTTATAAGATAAACAAGCAACATACTCGTAGCATGAATCCAAAAAAGATCAAATATAACACTTACAGCCGGGTTCTGAATTGAGAAAAGCACATAATCTCAACTGATTATTCTCAATAACTTAAGTTTTTTACATTTCATATGGCAAAAAGTCCAAGTTTTATCAAATTGCTATCAACTGATCAATAAAAAAATAAATATAAATCAGCTATGAAAACCTGTTTGATTGGCGTTTAAAATGGCTGAAGCACGGATTGAGACATGCTTAACTTCAAATTTTCAATTCAGAAACCGGGTGTTAGTCTTAATTGATGAATATATTTAAGAGGTGTGGAAAATTACATTGAATCAATAACTCAAATTGATTCAATTCTTAACTTTCAAAGTGAAATGAAAGAACACGCATAAACTCGTTCGGGTGTTGGACACCGATCCTGTCACTTACGTCACATACTGGGATCCAAAGAGTCAAGGTCTGTCTCAAAATATATTGCGGCATCCTAAAGGTTTTTTTACTTTTGCCTCTCGTTAAAAAGTTGCGGAATATAACTTTTTGATAAGTATTAATATGTACATATGCATTGATAAACCATAACTTAAAAAGATAATACGCGAAAACACAACTCAACATTAATCTCATTGTAATTTTTCTAAATTGTTCTAGAGATTTAATTTCAAAAATCCCTTGCTTTTTTTTTCAGGAAGCTCTCCCTATTCGTCTGAAGCAGGTTCACGTGATCAACGCACCGGCTTACATCAGCAAAATACATGCTATCTGCAAACCATTTATTAAAGCGGAGGTCGCTAAGATGGTATGTAAACATTATACTTCACACCCTCAGAAGGTTCGTTGTTATTAACCTTATATAAAGGCGTTTACGAATGGTTCGAAAAAAATCTGAACTAAACAAATCCCAAATGAAAACATGCTCACAAATATCTGTCCTAATCTATTTTCTCGGTGACATTTTAAAATTTAAATCATGAAAACATTCATTCGATGCATATGTCAATGGTTTGTCACTGAAATGAATTTCTGAATAAAACGGATTACTGCACCATAATCTCAGTTAAAATTAAGGTTTATGTATTGACGATATCTGTAACTCTAATTTTAATATTGACTGTGGAATGCGTTGCATCATCCTCTTTCTTGGCTTTAGTAAAACAATAACCTTAACCAGCTTTACTTAGGCGGTTTTAGTTCAAGTACAGTCAAAGTTATGACGTTTTCTAACCATTGCTAAATGATAACTTATTATTATTTGCTTGAACCTTTAAAGTAAGTTGGTGCAACCAACCCCGTGAATAAAATAATTTTATTACATGCCTTTTTGGACTTAGTGTTTTTAAACAAGTCAATTTATATGCATTAAGTTTTAATAGAACGGTCAATGGCCCTAGTTACGAAACTCGTAGTGTATTTGAATAAACATATTGTGCCGTCTGGTTAATGTTTGTAAATTCTACAGTAAAATTCTAGAAGCTTTTTTTCGCAACAACTTGTCGAAAAGTAATATTAAGAATAATTTTAAAATCACAAAATACAAAAATTTTATCGCATTAATGTCTTTAAATGAAAATTTTTTGATACCAAAATATTTTTAAATGGATGTCTAAAACTAATACATTACAAAATCTATGATTTTGTTGCATATTTTTATGTTGAGGTTTTTAAAAGTCCTTAGAAGTACGAAGAGCATGATTAAAAAACCAATTGTCTGAGTTTTGCATTCACAGAAGCTAAGCAATTACATTTATTTCAAATAGGTACCTTTTGCTAAAACACATCCTTATTACTTACATGATAGAGATATAAATATATTCATCTTCTTCCAATAATATTAACATGATAATATCATTAGCCGCGTCTTAATTTCCTACATTATTAAAGTCTCGTCTACCCAAAGCGTCTACATATAGCTTGCGTGCTTTGTATACTGATTTTCCATTGTCCTTCTTCATCTTTAAATGTAGACGTTTCACATACATCCATTAGCATTTTAAAAGGAAAGTACTCGGAGTCAGTGACGTAACTATTCGTTGTTGTCGGTTCATATGATTTGTCACTTACGAATTGTATGGTGGGACGATATTTATTTTGAAATCTACTTATACAATACTAAAAGTTGTGTCGTTTGTTAGACCTATGTAGTTAACAACAGAGAAGGTACTAATGACTTACTTTAAAAATATAAAGTTCACGGACTCTGTGGTCGAGTCACACGCCGCTTACGTGTTCTATAGACCTTATATAGGTATCTTATATATATTATAAGCTTTGTGGTATTAGAAGATTGAATCAACGAACTGTTGAATAGTTTGAAAAACATGATATTGGTTTCGTCAAAAAACAAAATTGTATTTCCTTTTTATTTAGTATTGAGTTCGATATAGGTTTGAGTTTTTTGTGCTGTTCATAAAACAATTTATATTTCTTTGTTATCAGATCAAATTCCATGAGCCAAATTCAGACACGCTTTATAAGGACATCCCCCAGGAGCTCCTACCCGCCGAATACGGCGGCAAGGTTGGCACCATCGCAGAGATCAAACGGTTCTGGATTAAGCGTATTGAGGCTAAAAGGTATCCTGTCATTATTTATACTTTCTTCATTTCTTGGACTATGTTTTCTTCAGATTAGTTTTCTTTTTGACTTATTATAAGGTTCTGTTTCTTTTTTTGCTCTATCCTGCTGCGTTTGGTTCCCCGATAAGTTGAAAATTTTCCACTATAGCATTATGAATGTAAAATTGATCAAATATATATTTAAAACAAATTTTTGGGTGGATTGTCTGAATATTGATGCGCTTATTAACAAGTGTTTGAAAAATTCGTCAGCTCTGTTATCTCAGTAGTTAGAGCAGTCGCTCGGATTGCAAAAGGTCGTGGGTTCGAGACCCATCTCAGTGTGCCTTTGGCTGTTGGATTTTAAAGCACTTTTTTGTTAAGAATTATCGTGTTGTCTAATTTTTAAATGACCGGTTTGATGGCTTCATCTGCTTTAGGGTATTATCGCTCATTCAGACAAGAAATTGAAAATTTAAGCAAAGGAAATTCCCTAAATTGTTTACATATAATATCAATCTATTATGTATGCACAAGATTTAAGAATACGAGTAACATTAAAAATAAAAAAATATAATGGGACTAATTTATTTAAATACCATGTGGACTGCACGAAAAAATGTTTTCTTGCGCTTTGGAAAAAAACAGTTTTTGGTGATATCATAAATGATATGGGATGTGACTAAAAATCTTTATTGTCCATCATTTAGATTATTAAAAAATATCAAACACGTATTATTCTTTTTATACCTAAACAATAATTTTTGTTACTTTAAAAAAGATTTAAAAAATTTTTTTTTATTAGGTATCTAATTGACCGACTAAGTTAAATTTCTTTTTCCTAGGCATCAAAACTATTTATTATAAACTTATTCTGATTCTGATTCAAATCCATATTGACAATTCCCTTACGTTTTGTTTTTAGAAAATTAAAATAGTACATAGAAAATAGTATACTGTACTGCTAAGATTCTACAGTACAACGTTGCACGTGTTTTCAAGTGTTTATTTTTATAATTTTTTGATTTGTCTGTTGTAGGGATTGGTTTTTGTCTGCGGACAAGCGCTGGGCGGTGGACGAGTCGTTGCGGCCCTCCACTGGACACGACGAACGCGTTAACAACATACGGGATCTGCCTGGATCATTCCGCTCACTAGCACTCGACTAGCAACTCTTTACTCATTACGAAGCACACTTGTGGGGTAGCCGGGTGTCATCGGAGTGACACCCGAGATGTTTTATAATGGCATCTGATATAGTTAAGTTAATTTTACAAATATGAAGTTGAATAAAATCATTCTTAGGTTGACTCTAGAATTTCTGCTAGGTGTCAACCACTTCACTGAAGTTTACATTATTCCAGTAATAGGGGAGACCGAGGTGAAACAATTTTGACATTTTATTTCATATATCAAATACTATTCACAGAAATCGTATGATATTAGTACCAATCGAAAGGTAATTATTAACACCTGCGAATGACTAACGTAAAGTAGTTGTAAACGTTAAATATTGGGGTAGACATCGACTTAACCGTAACAAGTCAATTTGTTTCAACTCTCCTCATACCGAGGTAAGATGAAACAGGGGACGAGGAGAGTTGAAACATATGATTTTTGAGAAGCATTAAGGGATGTAAAATAAAAATGATTATATAATTTCAAGGTATTTATTCAAATAAAACTTTTTGGTATGTAACAACTTTTTATATAAGGATTTTGTAATGATATATCAGTCAAGTATGTAACTACAGGTCTCATAAATATATTTAACTCTTAAATGAATTAATTACACCTTTAACTTAAATAAAAAGGATCTTCCTCAATCTTTAACATACAATAGTTATTAATTTTCAGTAATTTCTTAAGTATAACAATGATGCGGTCTGGTTTCTGAACTGTTGTGATACCTGATTCATCAACTTTCCATATAGGCTTCCCTTGTAACCCTGTAGTATAATTTTGGAAAAAAAGTTGTTCATTTGATCTGCTAAACTTGTAGCTCGAGCGATAGTTGTAGGTTGAGGTAGTCTAAGTGAAAGAACAGGATGCCGTTTCATAAATGATCGAAGCCAAACCTTTCCAGCCATTTCATGAGCAGTCCAAGCAGAAGGGATTTTTTTATTATATTTTTTATAATTATATTTACAGCCAATTTATAGGCAAAAGTTCTAGCTTCTTTAGTTCTTAGGCGAAAGTTAACAGCAGCGCAGTTTAAAAGATTGCCTTTTCCTCTGAAGCTGTAAAAAGTCTTTTCAGGATATCCAACTCTAGAAGCAGTTGCCGTTACGTTGCCTTCATAAGCATTTTTTTTTAATGTACCTGCAGAGAGATGTATGGTTCAGATTATAACTCGAAACCGCGTCACGGAGACTTTTCTGGCGCAAAATTACTTCTTCTGCTGCGAGATCATATATTTCGCGACTTGCCATACCCCTGTCAGTCTTTCTTTTATAATAAGTTGGCATTCTAAAACAAAATAAATAAATTAAGTTATCATAGACATTAATTAGGAGCGTTACTACCCGTCACGCTGTGTGCAACATTCGTGAAGTGTATGCTGTGGCATTTGTCTGCTTTGCAGCCATTTTCCAATATCTCATGTTATCTATGTAGAGGAGACCGAGGAGAGCTGAAACAGTCTGTTTCAAATCTCCTCAGTAGAAATAAAACCTCTCATTTTTATTTAATCTACAATGAAGAAGCAAATACATAGAAATCAACTGTACCAAACATATACAATGAATCTTTAGTTTAAGAGCTTTCGAAACACATATAACTTAAACCAAAATACAAAACCTATATAAAAATATAAACATCATAACAAAGCCTAAAAAACTTACTTTTCACGATTTTTGACATACGGCTGACAGAACTCCACAACCGCGCGAGGCACACCTCCGACGTGAACTCCCACCACGACGGGCGGAGAAAAATTGTTATAAGGCGAAGTTGCTAACCCGATAACGGTTTTAAGTTCCGAGAAATTGGTACTGTTTCAACTCACCTTTGTTTCAAATCTCCTCGGTCTCCCCTACTTATATTGTTTTCTTGTTTAGGTTTGTTTCACACAGCGATTTAGCCTTTGTAAATTATAGCCTATGTCTCCTGTGTCTTTTGCAGCATGCCGTAGGTAAAATATTTTTTTGAATCAGTCCAGTAGTTTTGGAGCACATTAAATGCAAATAAACAACCAATTCTTTCCTCTTTAATAGTACAGATTACGGTATATTTTAGAACCGGTGCTACTTCTGTGGGTAATTATGAGTTCAATTACTATCCTATTATTTTTGTCTGATATATTCTAAATTGATATAGTAAATATTGGTAACCGATAGATAATATACTACTAACAAAAGGTTTTATTGACTGAAAAGGCTATGATTAAAAAGTACAGAGTTTTCATCAGTATAAAATTAAGTAGATACCTGCATACATAAAATATACGTTCATAAAATCACATTGATAAAATTTTGCTTGATATATGAAGCTTAAGTAATAAATTACTCTATACACAACTCTATAATGAATTATGTCTCTATAAATAAGCTGATATTGCGTCATGAATAATAGGATAAGATGTAGGATAAAGGCAACATATTATAGGATATCTTTTCATTTAATTTGTTGTAAAAATGGTGTAATTTCAGTGCCTATTTAGTAGGTATATAGGAGAAATATTGTATTGAGAAGTTTTCTTTATAAAAATGTATAATTCAAATACATTTTTTGTGATGTGATATAAAATAAGATAAAAATATAATACTTGGTAACTTTTGTCATAGTTAATAAATGAATTTAAAGACAGGCATTGGTATTTATTTCCCCTTTTATCCGATTTAAGAGTTGTTGTTATATAATAAAAGCCAAAGCTAAAGTAACATAAACTTTTTATCCGACTATCGCGAAGCCAAAAGGAGGGTTATGGTTTTGACCGGTATGAATGTAAGAATTTTCATACTAAAACTAAAAACAAACAAAGAAAAATAATTCAGTCTTTCGTATTGGGTATCAAATGAAAGGGCTTAGTTAGCACATTTCAAATAGATACATCCCACAACATTTTGTTTTGTTATGATCAGCATACGACTACGCTGTACTTTGGTCATTGATATTATAACATAGCTGTCGCTATAAAATAAATTTCTTGTTTCGAACTTTTTAGAGCGTGATTTAGCTGTTTTTGGGTTTTAGCTTTTTAACTTATTTTTTTTAAGAGCGTTCCCGCAATGAATACTATCCTCTGTAAATACGTCGTTAGGCGTCATTTATGTATCGTTTGTGTAAGAAAAGTAAGCATTATTTAGTTGGGACATTAAAAGGAGTTGATGAATCAAGTTATCTTAAATGAGGTCATGCGGGATTATCGTAAACACAAACATTTGTCGTATGAACCAAGTTTGAAAAACTCTATAATGGAAAATAAATATCAATAATAAAAATTGCTTAAAAAAATCAACAGCCCAGGTGCCAACATCGTGATGGGACTCGAACCCACAGCCTTTGATAAACCGGACAATCGCTTAACCATTTATCTACTGGAGACCCAATAGGATTTGCTTGAAATTTGACGATAATACTTGCTTACTAGTCGTGAAAATAACAAGTGCTTGAAAAATTCGTCAGGCCTGTGCAGCTAAGTGGTTTGAGCAGTCACCCGGTTTGCTAAAGGGTGTGTTAAAGGTATTGTTTCTTTAGTATGTAGCTACATTATACTCGGGTGCACTTCATTAGTTATAGCAACTTTTTATATAATTTCATATAAATAACGTTATTGATATGAAATTATATGAAAAATTGCTTGTTTTAATTAATATTCATTTCGTATAATATCAATAACCATAATATTTTAAACGCCTAAAACAATTCATATAATATTTAAATTGTATAATGTTCTATATATTACTCAAATAATGTAATGTTTTTTCCCATAAGTTCACTTATAATAACTTACAATTAATATAACGTTCAATTAATATAATATATGACTGATATAACATTCGTTTAATAAGTATACTGATTAATTGATTAATTATTATATTAAAATATTGACTAAAATGGTAAGAACAAAATATTCCACTATAACATAATAATTTCAGATTAGGTTCGAAACCTTTATAACAAAGCCGATTCGGTTAATTAAATTCCATATTTATTGATCACAATAGGAATTTATCTTCGGTTAGGTTAGGTTAGTACTGTGACTAAGTTAAAAAGCGAGTCGAGCGAGCAAAGCGAGCGTGCCGCGGCAGCGGCCGGCGAACGTAATTAATGAATTTTACATTAAGCAAGCTTCTATTGTACATTCCTTAGGAGAAAAAGAAGTAAACCTAGTAGTAAATATATTAACATGAAAGATTATATTAAATAAAATTATATTAAGTAACGGAATTTCATTCAAAATTATGTTTGAAAATTATTTTTTCCGTTTATTATATGAAATTATCGATATATAAAACAAAATTATGTTATAAGAAGGTAAAGATTGTTAATTTTGTATATTTTTTTATTATGCCATATTTTACACACTCGTTACACTCATCTTGTAAAAGACAGAAGATTGCGGTATTTTATCCGTCTTAGTGTAAGATTCGTTATTTTTGTTATTGAGAATGACTTGATTCTATAAAACGGGGACTAAAATTAGTACTTGTTTTATACCATTGGTTGTGCAAATTGAATCGGATAACGGTTTAACCTCTGGTTTAACGGTCAGTTGCACAAACGTCCATTAAAGCTAATAATGAAATATTCTAAAAATGAAATATTTTGTTTAAGTAATGTGGCTTTAATGGACGTTTGTGCTGGCTGGCTATAAGCCTAGTTGGTATTAAAGTTAGTCCTCGTTTCAAATAAGACAGATTCGCAAGTAAGAAGTTATAAGATAAGATAAGATAAAAACACTTTATTGTACAACACACAACATAAATAAATAAAGACTAACTCTTTAGCGATTTCTTCCAGGCAACCTATACTGGAAGAAGTAATGATAACAATAATGTAGGTAGGCTGTGCGCGTTACAAATAAATTTAATAATATTATAGAAATATAAATATGATAATAAAGTTACATAAAATAAACAAGTATACGATGCTTAAGATAATAAGAAGGCAACATATTAAATAGATTTCTGTTCATCTGACAAAAAGAACTTCGCAGCTAGAGATTTGAAAGACTCCAGCGTTTGGGCGCGTCTAACATTCTCAGGTAAGGAATTCCATAAATGGATAGCTCGCAGGGTAAAAGATTGGCTGTAAAATTGAGAAAAGTTAGGCGGTATGTAAAGGCGGAGATTGTCAGATGAACGAAGGGGAAGATTGTGAGTAAAGGAAAGAAACTTAAAATGCTCCTTGAGATATCTGGGTGACAATGGATTGAACAGCACAGAAAAGAGAAGGGATAATACCTATGTGTAGGTCTCTGCGACGGCGAATGGTAAGCCAATTCAACCTTTGACGATAGTGAGAGACATGGTCATATTTACGCAGTCCGAATATGAACCTTATGGTGAAATTTTGGAGACGTTCTAGCTTATTAAGAAGCTCAACTGTAGGGTCTGGATAGCACACATCTGCATAATCAAGTATAGGTAGAAGTAGGGATTGTGCAAGAGTAATTTTGGTGGCAGTTGGTAAGAAGTTACGTAAGCGCCGCAGCGCCCCAGCAGAAGCAAACATTCGTCTACTGATTTCCGCAACTTGTGGTCTCAAGGATAAAGATTTGTCAAATAAAAGTCCTAGGTTTTTCACCGTATCTGTAAATGGAATCACTGTCCCGTCCAAAGTAATTTTCGTCAACTGCCCGAAATCAATCCTGGACACAAAGTAAGGGTTGCCAATTATATTATACCCTGAGTCTTCTTAGGATTAACATTCAAACCAAATAACGAGCTCCAGTTCACTATACGATCTAAATCAATATTGATCTTGCGGATAGCATCATTCAAGTTATCGAATCGCTCTTGCGTATAAATTTGAAGATCATCAGCATACAAGTGGTAGGTGGAAGTTAGATTATGAGTAATAGAATTAATAAAAATGGCGAATAATAAGCTTTATATTTCCACTTGGAGTAAACCATTATGTCTTTTTTTCTAGTATATAAACTTACCCTGGAATAGCTTTCTTTAAAATTAAGAATATACAGCGGCACATCGAGTGCGAGACAAAACTGACATATCTATCTTTTTGAGATATTGCGTAACTAGTGGTTGGCTCCGGAGCTCTCCCAGCAGGATCCCGGATTCTTCCCTCCTCCACTAATGAAGGTTTTAATTAAAAAATTGCGCGGTGATGTATTTATATTAATTTTTTAGATATCTTCTTAAAAATTTTATTATACCTATAAAATTGACGAAACAGTATGACGTTTAGGTATTTATTGCATTCAAGATGTTATTTCATTAAAACATATTGAGTCATTGTAAAATAAGATTTGTGAACAATTGGTTTTTAATGTCACTATATTCTAAAAGATAGTTATTTGTGTAGGTATACAAAGATTTTTTTTATTAATGTTACATTAAGAAAAGATACAAAAAAAAACTAATAATTATATTAAATTTTCACCATTCAGCATCTTAATTAATAAAAATATCACTTAAAACTTAAATCAAATTTTAATCAAAGTAAATATTTTTATTAATCTATACACAGAGTTTTAAATGAACCGCTCATTTCCACTGTTCCGCTTTTTGGTTTCTTCTTAAGATCTGATTTCCATAAGTTGTCATTTTGGAATGATTTTCTGAAAAAAAATACCTTTGATTGAAATCATATTTACTTTACAGGTCCTAAACAATTAAGTTGTATTCAATATTAGATTATAGAAGCAATCATTTTTATAGTTCCGTACTTGAAAAGTAATTCGGTGATTAAAGACATACATTAATTAATCAATTTGATCTACCGCTTTTGTGGTGTAAATTTAATAATATTTTTTTGAATACCAAGAGCACGTTTCAGGCCCGTATCTACGATTTTTTCCAACCGGGGCAAAAATGAAGAGCACGTTGTCACAATAAATAAAGTATGAAATCCGTACGAACGTTTATTTTTCATTTCACCCGACTGAACAACGCAAAGGAGGGTAATGTATCAATGAGTCTATGTATGTTTGTTCCTACACGGTATTGTAGAGTCCAAACGGCTCGGCCAATTGGTTTTGGCCAATTGATAATTTATACGTCAATCGTTTTATCTTAATCTTGCGAGTGTCACTAAATACATAACAGTAATCAAAATTCACTATAGCGACTACCAGATGTCATATTGTCATATAAAACATATCATAAATACAACAGCAGAATAAAAGTCAGAAATCATTCAAATTACACGAGAATCCCGTAAAATTTATTTATTGGTCAAAAAGTATTTCAATAGATATCAATAGAGCAGTTATTCAGTAGTACTTAATAACATTCCAAACTACTGGGCTTGTTTTTTCTTTTTAGTGAAAGTATTTATATATTTTTTTCATTTTTTTTTATTTTGCAATTTATAACAAAATGCAAGTAGAAAACGTAACTTTTATGACTCAAGCGATAAAAAATATTAAGGCAATTAGAAAAAGATCAAACATGACTTTACTACTAATTCTATTTAGTAACTGCTCGTGAGAGCGGTCCCTGATGCCAAAGAATATCTATGAGTGTATGTCCTAGCACGTTTCTGGCACATTTAGATGTAAATAAACGGGGTCTGTCGGTCTCTGCCCTGATACGTGTCTGGTACGCTCAATGTTTGTATGTATAACTATATATAAAAGGACCTTAATTCGTGTTACTGAAGGTTAAGAATCTATTTTAGTTCATGAAGATGGGTAAAATTGTCTTATCGTTGCTTGTTTTATTTTGGACGTCATGTTTCAAAATAAGATTAACTACTTAAGACCAGTCTAAAGCAGCTCTCAAGTTACGTCAAAATAATTTTAAATTTTGCTTGTTTAGGCTTGCAGCTGCAATTGCAACTGAATATTCGCCACACACACACACACACGTTAATATTATTTGATTAAATAGTATGATCTGCATGCATTGTATTATAATTTATTGATCAAATTTTCCCAAAGACTTGCCAATTTGACAAAACTGTTTGAACTAGCATATTAGATCAAATTACTTGAACCTTTATAGCCGGTAACTAAAACGTAATGTTTTAGGTACAATTGTTTGATAAATTATAATTATTATCACCTCATTTCTTCTAATTTTTCGACCCACTGCATGTGCTGTTCCTTCATACTGCCAGCATCACCCCCATACTCCGTGGGAAGATACTGCTTGCCTATTGCTTTCAAGAGTCCTGCAGAGTTTTCGTGGAACTTAATCTGAAATTGTATGAACTTTCAATTGGGTTTCGATCGAATATAAATTAGTCAATGAAGAAGCCTCGCTCTGAATTAATTTGGCAGCGATTGCATCCACAGTTTTTAGCTTTCCAGCTTATCATTTTGAGCACTCACAATGTTGCAGATTTCTGTAGGTAGCACCGGCTTGACAAGGGCGAATAGCTTGTCCACGTAACTTGGACAGTTGACCAGATGTACTTGCTTCACACGAACAGGCATGCCCTCCTGTAATAATTATACGAACATGAGTTCGATGGTGCTGTGATAAGCGTATTCGATCAGCGTTGCAAAAGTTAAGCAACTTTGGCTAAGCCCTGGTATAGTTGTGGGTGACCCAATTTATTATCTTGAGCCCTACCGTGTTTCGGAAGGTACTTTGGGCCGTTGGGCCCAGCAGCACAAATGGCCGTTAGTACACGCCATCACACCTGCGTGGTAGGTTATAGCCCATTCATCCTATTTGAATCGATTCCGTCCATCCAAAGTTTGTAACTTAGCAGTCAGACATTATTGAGACATTAATGGGCTCGTAATGGTGGATATGAAAATAAAGGGATATGAACAATGACATGACAGCTGTTAGAAAAGAATAGAACAAGATAACATACTACGCTGAACTTGCAATCAAATGGCACCAGCTTTGTTTGATATTCTGTAAAAGTTATAGCGGACCAACGGATTATATATAAAAATGACGTCATTAGCATAATTCCGACGTCAAAACTGACAACCCCTTTTTTCATAGAAGCATCTTTCATCAACTAATTCTTGAAATGCGTTGCGTGTAGTGCGGAAGGTGCGTGAGTGCTGAGGCAATGGACGCAATCCTTAAAGGTTTTTTAAATGAACCTCTAGTCCTGCGATTATTTTAATACAGGACAGAATGCTAATGACTCAAGATTTTTTTTAATATAATGTAAATTAGAGTAAATAATTTATTATTATACGTACTAGCAAAAACATTAAGAAATCTCTGAAGAACATAACGTTGCACTTCGGTATGATTTTGAGTGTGTAGTCTTTTATGTCGATTACAATGATGTGTCCGTCCGGGAACCGGTCGTGGTAATTCAACCAGTAATCAGCTTGGATACTGAACGCTTTAAGAATATCGTAGTATGAGAAGTGCTCTAATGTGGGGTCGTCCAATTGGTGAATCAACATTTCTTTATTATCGACGTCCCATGTTGACACCGATCTGTAACATAACATAATAATAATTTACTCTTAAGGTCTCTATTTTTAGCAGTAACATACTGATTTTAAAGACATTATTTTTGAGATCTCGGATAAGATTTTTATTTGAGTCAATTTAAAGAACTTTTCTAAGGGAAATACCTGCGGCAGTTAAGATTCGCATAGTAAGGCCCAATACTACTATTCCTATTACTATGAAACAATGATATCTAGTAACTTCCATATCTAGTTAGACATCCGAAAAATAAAACCGAATTCGATTATTATTATTATCGTTTTGTTTCTGTTCAAACTTTTGGGCCTTATTACAATTAAATTGCACAAGTTTTAATTGGCACAGTCACCTTAATTCGTATCGGGTCTTGGTGTGATAATAAATCTAGTCTACTATATATTTATCACATTCTGTATAATATAGTAGCGGCTTATGATCAGGGGCGGTTTAACCAGGGGGCCAATTCTACTAATTTACAACGATCGATCGTCAATAGCGTTTCTGTAACGGTTACGTTTCGATTTTTGCTGTAAATTTGCATTCTGCTAACGTCAATTATCAAACGAACGTTTACTAAATTGAAACGTAATCGTAGCCGAACCAAACAGCTGTCATTAGTGTTACCAGAATAAAATAAATGAAATTATTAGTTAAACGGGAGACGATTAATGATTATTCATTTTTTTATCACTATATAATGAATGTATTACATTTGTATTCGATCGTTTTAAAATAAGGACGAAACAACCGAATATTAGCTACATTAAGAAAGTGCATACCTAAGTGTTAAGCTACAAGGGAAAATACCCGAAACGCGAATTTATAATTAATATTTTTATCATTATGGGTATTTGACACTATAAAAATAAGTTGCGTATTATTATCATCATGTTAGATAATAATCTAATAAAAGTTTATTTCTTATAATCTGTAGATTTTAAAATTATATTCATCGAAAATAGAACAGATTCTCATGTAATATATTGACAGTGTGTTTATAATGTATCAAACAACTATTTTAATTAATTAGTTTTCAGAAAAGCGTCATATACCCAATTCTATTATTAAGCACTCAACTTTAAACATGCTTAATATTTAAAGCATAAATCCGATATAATTAAGTCTTTTAATTAACAAAAAAAGTCAGATGAAATACTATAAATCCTGGCGTCAACTAAAGATAACGTCAAGCTTAAAGAGTTAAGTTTCAAAATTCAAATGGTGTTGGTTTATTTTATTGTTTATACCGAGTTTTAATTCGCAAAATAAATGTTATTATGTGAGATAAAGTAGATAAAACGGTACCTACATGGGTAGGTCGTGAACAGAAAAGTTTTGACTCATTTTCAGTCACTAACAAACTGTAAGAAGTGAGGTATGCAATCAGTCCAAGACTAAGACGAGCATTAATCCAGAGGTGTATACTTTACTTTAAACAACTCCGTTTCAAAAGAATGTACAACAAAAATAATCATTAAATTTATACATTTGTTTGTACTAAAAATTAAATGTTAAAGTTAAATGATGATTGCATATGACTTTAGTAACTTCAATCCATTTAAACAGAATTCATTAAACTTCATTGAATATCACCAGACTTCATCAAACTACATGGACTTAGTTGAACTTCATAGTTCATATTGTGACTTTATGGGACTTCATTAGGTTTTCATATAACATTTCCAATCACGGGCATTGGAAATTACATAATAATAATAATATATATATTTATTTATTTGGGCGTTGTTGAATCAACAACCGTAGTAGTCCGTAAAACTTAGGTAAAATGCAAAATTGCACCAAAATTAACTAAAAGTATATTAAAGTTTTTTTTATTCAATATGATAATGAATGAATTAATCGATTATTTTCCAATCGATGTTTGATTTTCATTGCAACACCAATTCACTTTTTGTCAATACAAACCACAATGATACAGACAATGTTTTAATTAATCTTTCATTCATTACTTTTTCATTTTACATGTAGAAATTAATTTATTCACTTGACTTTGGCTGAATTGTGTGAAATGCGCAGATATACCATTAATAAAAGAAGAATGAAATTGACAAAATTGAATTGTAAATGACAATTTAATATGGAATATCTACTAAAACAATCCCCATATGTGTATTTTTTTGTAATATTAAACTGTAATAGGAAGTGAAACATTATACTGGAAAATATTATTTACAAAATTAATTTTATAAAATAATTCATACCATGTATTGGCTACGCACGTGAAATTGGCAGAATTATGCGAAAGCCCTTAATAAAAGAAGAAGTTTTCGATTGAAAATAAATATTCATACGTATCAATAACTTAGTGAAGAAGATAAACGATAGTCGATTCAAAGTAGACATTTAAGAGAGAATTATTGATGATGAAATGAATCCAATATCTTTCGAAATCTGGCTATACCTACATCTGTACACCGAATCAAGCAAGGCAACATAATATATACTGTGGAAAATCTATTCAAGATTAAATTTAAAACAATGTTTGTTATAGAAACCCATTAGAAATGTCATTATTGACTAGATATTATAAGTAAGATCAGAGAAAATTATTAATGATTTGACATATCTTTCACATTAAGTTGTATACAAATTAAATTCTTGTAGTTGCATGGATTTGCTCGCAGCTGTCATCCATGCTGACTATGAGCAAATTAAGTATAAGTTTCAACTGATATAAAAGAACTTACACATATAAATTCCTGCGAAATTGAACAAGAGCTCCTGATTCACAGGCTTATTTTTTTTTTGTTCTAAATTGTAACCCATCATAGCGTATGACAGTTTTCTTTGGAATATTGGTGGTTGGTTTTAACTTTGTGTCAAAAACAGTAGAATATGTATTTTTCATGTAGCTAATACTAATTAGGCTGAACATTTATCTTGCACGCAACTTAATATATGGTTACAGAAAGCCTCATGTTATTTCAAATGTTACATAAAACTGAGCTGAGGCTAAGATCATTTTATTTTATTTTTAAAATTAAAAATAATTCAGAATAAAATCTTATAAACAGTATATTTACCTGTTTAACAATCCTTTAAACATGATGATGATATGATGAAATAATCCTTTGTAATATTATAATCTCCAAATAAAAAAGTGAGTAATACTTTGTCAGAAAAAAAAATATTCATAATTATAATTTTTTAATTAAGATTATTATTTGATCATATTTTCTTTTTAATGTTATTGATAACATTTACACCCCTGTCTTCATAAATTGTTGTCTCTCTCTCTCCATCCCATGGTTGCCTGGAAGAAATCGCTTTAAGCAATAATGCCGCCAATTGTTATTTTATTTTATTTTACCTATATAACTTGTGTAATGTTAACAATAAAGAATTTTCTATTCTATTCTCTATAATGGTATTATTAATATAGTTTTGGTGAACTTCCTAAACATAAATGAGCATATGCTCACTAGTAATGCAGGTAATTCTTAAATTCACAAAACCTGCTGGTTATCTGGTAGTTAAATTGGTTTTAGCAGACGCCCAGACTGTGAGTGTTTATGGGTTTAAATCCCACCTCAAGCACTAATTGCTTGAAGTGGGTTTTTTAATTATTTTCCTTTAAGATAAATATCAATATAGTATTGCAAATGCAAGTGATCAGAAAAAATAATGATAAATTAATTAATTTTTAAACAAGGACTTTTTCAGTGCCATTTTTAAATGAATTCCACACATGCTTGTAAATACACACTTTTAAGTTTTCCTGTAAAAATACTACAATAGTTTACTTTATTCAATACAAAATATTCAAAAATTCATGTTTTTATAATCATAGATAAGTTTACTAAAAGCCAAAAGCCCCTACAATATAATAATGATTTTTACGATGTTCCTATTTACAATGATTGTTTATAATTATGTAAAGTTTTAACAGAAATATAATTATTGATTTTAATTTACATTACATGCCTCAACTAGGTGGACCTTATTTATGTTAAGAATCTACATAATATGAATTTAACATTTCAAATTGATAGAGAAATGAAAACCTATAACAAAATCTATAACAAATAGATGAAATGGTGTACATAAAAAGTTTATTAAACATATGCATGCACTATCACACTTGTTTATCTAGCTCCATAGTTTTCGATTTCATTTTTTTTCTAGTAATTTTACATAATTTATATCATATGGATTGCTATGTTCTCATGAGGTAGATGAGGAATCTGGTGTTTGATACCCAGATTTTGTATATTTACTTCAGACGTCAGGGTGCTCATTGAAAGTATCCTTGTATCTTTGTGAAATAAATAATATTGGATAGAAAATTTTATATACTTGAAGTGCTAGACAGTTAAAGATTAAAATTTTTTGGTACCTTAATATAAGGTATTTTTATAAATAATTAATGATAAAGCAAACATATCAATGGATTTACACAATTTATTATGTTCTTTACAGTCTATTGATAACTCACTCACAAACTCTTAAAATGTAGGAATTAAGAGTCACAGTGGATTGGAGTATTTAATATATTTCACATTGTAAATACATAAAAGTCAGATGAGAGTAAAGAAGAGAGTGACATAAAAAACAAAAAACAATGTATAAAATACTAATTCAAAAAGGTATACAAAAAAATATCAGTGTCTGATTAATATAGAAAAAGGTTTTATCTACACCTCCCTGTCATCAGGACACTTATGTACACCCTTTATATCAACACACTGTATGTACAAAAACACTATATCAAAGGTACCTTAACACTGATGCCCTAACCTAATTAACCTAATAACACAAAACAAATAACACTAAACTAATCCTAAATTAGTTAGGTACATATAGTGTCTCAGCTTAGGCAGTGGCTTTGTGAGAATGTCTGCTGTTTGGTGAGCTGATGGTATGAATGACACATTAACTTGTTTAGTGGATATAGACTCACGAACAAAATGATGTCTAATATGAATATGTTTTGTGCGGGCGTGATGAATGTTGTTTTTTGTTAGTTAAGGTGATGGGTGACGAAAAGCAAAAGATGTCGCTTAGTAATGAGCGAATGTAGATGGCTTCCTTACAGGCTTCACTTAGAGCCATGTACTCAGCTTCTGTTGTTGATGTTGCAACGGTTCTCTGTTTACGTGATTCCCATGACACTGCTGAACCACACATTTGGAAATTATATCCTGTATAGGATCGTCTGTCCACCAGATTACCACCATAATCGGCATCAGCAAATCCGATTAGATCACCACTATTGTTATAGGTCAGTTTCCTATTTTTTATAGCCTTCAGGTACCGAAGAACAGGTTTCACAGCTCTCCAATGTACCGAGATAAAAACTTTTTCTATACAAACACTACAAATATGTTTGCCGAAGTTACTTTTGTAGGGCAAAATGTTTTTAATTGTCAATTCTGAAGATGGATCAAGGTATTTTATTTCACTCAGCAATTGGGGGTACCTAATTGCACCTCTTAAGATTTTAAATAATATAAATTGTTTCACATCTATCATTAAACGCTAACTATCGATCATGAAAAAGTAGAAATTTGCAACTTTTTAGAAATCGTTAATTTTGACAGATGAAACGTTCGGATTTAGTAACATTTCAGTAGCGTTTCGATCCAACGAAGTGTCAAAATTTTAGTGGAATAAGGGCCGACGGGCCGACGATCGACTCAAGTATATGGACGTAGTTATGCAAACCAGCCACATGATGTCAGTTTTGAGAAAAATGGGTTTCTTGTTTTTACTTATAATTTATTGTAGAATATATTTTATTTTATTTATTTATCAAGAAGTTTTGTGAATTTACAACATGTGAGTTTAATTGCAACACTTTTAGGCTTCTCTGCACATAACTCGATTTTGACAGATTTGTGGGTTGGTTCCGGTTTGCATAACTACATCTATATAGTTCTATGTTCGATTGAGCGAGTAGAATACCGTTTACAGTTTCTGTCGATCGATAGTTAACTAAACTAAAATAGAACCGGAACTGTATCGTTTGACGCCATTTTGACACCGAGTAGAATAGGAAAACCACTAAAAGTTGTAGTTTCGTTCGGTTTCGTTCCGTTTTCGATTCGATTTAAACAAAATTTATTTAGTAGAATTGGCCCCCTGTGCAGGGTGTGAAATGCACACGGGCGCCGCCGCGCTCCCTGAGACAGCCAAGAGCAGTCTTGGACCATCATGGTACAACAATGATATGGTGCGGGGGGTGCGACGCACCCGGGCGCCGCGCTTTGGGAGGCTCCACACCGATGATCATCAGGAAATTCTCTGTAATGAGGGGTGAACGCCAGAGCACTGCTTGCACCCGGGCGTATGTTGTGCTTAAGACGGGCCTGCTTATGATCCTGACATATCACTATATTCGGATAACATTATGTATCGTTAAGGTCCTAATAATATCTTACGCAATCGAACCATAAACAGATTTAATGTGAGGATTTTGTATAGAAATAATAACTCATTGTTCTTTGTATTTTTTTAAGATTATTGTTACTTAAAACCTATTGACGATTAAGATTGGCAAGCTATACGTAGTAATGGCTTCTTTATTCTAATTAACAATAGTAGTAAAGACAATGTATTATACGTATATTACTCCGCCAGCGGTTTCGGCCGCGTGGTCCTTATGTATAATCTTTCCTCTTGAATCACTCTGTATATTGATGAAAATCGCATTAAAATCCGTTGTGTAGTTACGGAAAAATATAGAAAAAAACTCAACGT